TTTCAAAACCTTGGAATTCTGATTGAAGTGCACACTGTTCGTCCCCTTTGGCTTYAAATTAGAATAGACATCTTACATACTCTCAAGGACTTCCAAAAACTTCTGGCTGATATTAATTGGTTATGTCCTTCTTTTTTTTTTATTTTTTAATGTTTTATTTTTTTACTTTTTGGCGGACACAACATCTTTGTTTGTCTTTGTTTGTACGTGGTGCTGAGGATCGAACCCGGGCTGCACACATGCCAGGCGAGCATACTACTGTTTGAGCCACATCCCCAGCCCACGTCCTTATTTAAAATTAACTACATCAGAGTTGAGGCCTTTGTTCAATATCCTCAAAGGGGATCTAGCTCCATGTTTTTGGCAACTTACTCCAGAAGCTAAAGCTAGGCTGAATCGTGTAGAATCTGCCCTTCAAGCAGCCCAACTTATTAGGGTTGATCTAAATAGATCCATTCAAGTACTAATTTGCCTACTACTCATACCCTATGGGTGTTCTTTAGCCAGAAGCAAGAATTATAAAATGGCTTCACTTGCCCATTCTTTCTAAGTCCTTAACACCATTTCATGATTTCGTTGCTGAATTAATTGAAAAAAGCTTGATATTGAGTGTTGCAGTTTTTAGGGCTACAGCCTTCCCTATTGTAGTTCCTTTTACTACTGAGCAACAATATTGGCTTTGGCAAAATTCCACAAGTTGGCAGACTGCACTTGCTAATTTTTCTGGTCAAATAAATAGTCATTATCCTGCTAATGAAATTTTACAGTTTGCTTCTATGATTACTTTTGTTTTCCCTAAAATTGTTTGCACTAAATCAATTTCTCAGGCTTTAATGGTTTTTACTGATGGGTCCACCTCAGGGAGGGCCACATTTTATAGCAAAAAAAAAAAAAAAAAAAAAAGAGTCCAATGGTCATCAAATTTCTCCTCTGCACACTGTGTTGAAATACAAGCTATAATTTTTGCCCTGCAATATTTTTCATCAGAATCTATAAATATTTACAGTGACAGTGCTTATGCAGTAGGGGCAACTCAAGTAATTAAAACAGCTACTACTGGGCGTATTAACTTTGAGGAATTATTTCAGCTTTTAGATCTTTACAAAACACTATACAACATTATCTATGTTTTACTGCTCATATTCAAACTCATTCAGGTTTTCTAGTACCTTTAGTAAAAGATAACAATGTTATTGATCATTCTACTACATCAATAAAATGTATAGCACCTTATTCCTTAGTTCAAGCATCACATGCCCTATTTCACCAAAATGCTTCCAGTTTGCACAAAAAAATTTAATCTCCTAGGGTACAGACTTTGACCATAGTTAAAAAATGCCCTTGGCCAGGTGTGGTGGCAAATGCCTGTAATCCCAGTGGCTCGGGAGGCTGAGGCAGGAGGATCATGAGTTCAAAGCCAGCCTCAGCAATTTTGCGAGGCACTAAGCAACTCAGTGAGACCCTGTCTCTAATAAAAATACAAAATAGGGGGGCTGGGGATGTGGCTCAAGCGGTAGCACGCTCACCTGGCATGCGTGCGGCCCGGGTTGGATCCTCAGCACCACATACAAACAAAGATGTTGTGTCCGCCGAGAACTAAACAATAAATATTAAAAAAAAAATACAAAATAGGGTTGGGGATGTGGTTCAGTGGTTGAATGCCCTCGAGTTCAATCCCTGATACCCTCCCCACAAAAAACAATGCCCTCAATGTGCTATTCACCTCCTGGTCTTATCAATTTGGGGGAAATCCTCGGGGGCCTAAAACAAAATCATATTTGGCAGATGGATGTTACTCATGTACAAAAGCTTGGAAGACAACAATGGGTACATGTGTCTATTGACATCTATTCTCATTTTATTTTTAAGACAACACAAAACAGGAGAAAATGTTAAACATGTCATGAGTCATTGTCTGGCTGCTTTTACAGTTATGGACAAACCTCTGAAATTCAAAACCGATAATGGTTCAGCCTATGTCAGTTCTTTTCAACACATTTGTGCTTCTTATCAAATTATTCATGACAGGAATCCCATACATTGCTCAAGGATAAACAATTGTAAAACATGCCAATAAAATGTTAAAAATTCAACTTCAAAAACAAAAAGGAAAATAGGTATTCCATCTCCACAGAATCAATTGTATTATGTTCTTTTTACTTTAAATTTTTTAAACATTGATAAGGTGGGCCATACTGCAGCTGAGAGATAGCAAGTTTCTGGTTCAGTTTGTAAAGCAAGAATGGAATGGTGGAAAGATTTATAATCAGGAAAATGGAACAGGCCAGATCCTGTAATGATGTGGGGAAAAGGTTATACCTGTATTTTTCCAGAAGGTGCTGAGATTTGGAGTTGGGTACCTGAGAGAATAGTGCATCATCAACATGGATCCAACAGCCAGACTTGAACCTCAATTCAAAAGATTAAGAATTGCTCCAAAAACAGTGGTTTCAAAAGATTAAGGATTGCTCCAAAAACAGTGGTGCCTTAGCAACAGCTGACTCCCAAATCTCAGAAATGCTGAGAGAAACAAGCAACAAGCGAAAAGCACACTAAGTGCAACTCCCTCAACTTGGGGTCAGATCAAGAAGTTGACCATCAAAGTTCAGAATATGGTTGAGAGTGAAGGGGCCCCTATGACACTAGTTACCATATTTATGGCAATGCTGGCCATTATAGGTTTTCAGGTATGTATGGTAACAGGAGAAACTTATTAGACTTATTTTCCAGATCCTCCCATTATTAATCCTGCTACTTGGCCTGGAGAATCTATCCCAGTGTTTACAAATTATTCTGCCATGGGCAGTGGTTAATCTGATTTTCATATTATTCCCTCTCATGACTTTAATTACTTATTCTGGATATAGTGCTGAGACTCCTATTTGTCTATTCATCAGAAAACTGGGTGCTTACAAGTGTCCCAAGAATGTAAGATATCCTATGGTGGTACTCGTGTTGCCACAGTTTCTAGTCCTTGGGACTTAAAAATATATGTACACAAATGTATGAAATATGATTGAAATGAAATATGAAATATGTCAAGAGCTTTGTAATGTTTTGAACAACTAATAATAAAAAAAATATATATGTACAAATTACTGTCAAATTAGCTTTTCCTAATTCTGGTGATAAGGATTCTGTCAAACACCCTCTGTTTCCTTATTGCCCTAATTCCACCACTTCAGAACTGGGAACTTTTCTTCACTGGCTAGATTGTGATAACCTCTTTTATCTAATACTATAGTAACAGGTCAATAAAAATGGCACCTACACCAAATGTTTTTTGAGACAAACAATATAAAATTTCTGGCACATGGTAAGGTCTCCATGGATGTCTGCTAGTATTTTTTTTTTGCATTTACTACCAACACATAACTCACATTACTAGTTATTACTACATACCAAACTCTTAAGTGCAGTTGGATCAAGTTAAATAATTTTCCAGTCATGCAGCTGGGCAGTGGAATATGAACACAAAGGCTGGGCCCCTAAGCCACCTCTTACTTGCATCATTCTCTAATCGCCCTCTAAAACTCCTTCGTGGCCACCCATACTTCAGTAGGAAATCCAACTCCTCAGAATGCTTTTAGGGAATGCTACAAAACTCGCCCCAGCCAACCTCCCTAGGACTCTGTCTTGCCATCAGCACCTTCACTATGAGTGCCAGTCCCACAGTAGGTTATTTCAGATGCCTTTTTTTTTTTTTTTAATATTTATTTTATTTAGTTCTCGGCGGACACAACATCTTTGTTGGTATGTGGTGCTGAGGATCGAACCGGGCCGCACGCATGCGAGGCGAGCGCGCTACCGCTTGAGCCACATCCCCAGCCCTCAGATGCCTTTTTTTCTGGCGCTTTTCTTCTTGGTACTACAGAGTGAATCCAGGGGTGCTTAACTGCTGAGCCCCATCCCCAGCTCGTTTTTTTTTTTTTTTTAATTTTGAGACAGGGTCTTGATAAGTTGCTTAGGGCTTCACTAAATAAGGCTGGCCTCGAACTCGTGAGCCTCCTGCTTCAGCCTCTGGAGTCCCTGGGATTACAGGCATAAGCCATCGCGCCAGGCTCAGGAGCATTTTTTGCCCCGTTATTGCCATACCCTGTCCAGTCCGCTAGCTCCCGCGGGTCCTTCAGTAAGTCTCTCAACCTCTCATCCCGCCAAAGCCGTGTTAGGTTTGCCTTCTTCTGAGGTCTTGCAGCCAAAGCCATCATGCTGACTACACTGCGTCATTTACTTGCCTGTCGCTACTTTTGAGACTGTGACTTCTTTCACTTTTCATGTAGTGTGCACATAACCAACACTGTAGAAAAGCTTCATCAGATAACTGAAATAGAATTCAAAAATTGGGTGCTATCTCAATTATTACCATCATTATTATTGTTGTTCTGCGGTACTGGAGGTTGAAGTTAGGGGCGGTCTACCTCCGAGTCACGTGCCCAGCGATCCTCCCCCCCCCTTTAAAATTTTTTTAYTAGTTAYTGATGAACATTTGTTTATATGTGGTCCTGAGAATCAAACCCAGTGCCTCACACATGCCAGGCAAGCGCTCCACCACTGAGCCACAACCCCCGCTCCTCCCAGCCCCTTTTTAAATTCGACTTTCAGACAGGGTCTAAGTTTCCCAAGTTGGCCTCGCGATCCTCCTGCCTCAGCCTCCCAATTACATCCGGGCATAATCGCACCCAGCAATTTTCCTTTATTTGTAACCTGCCTTTAATTACATTGGTAATCGTTTTTGTTTGTTTTTTGGTTTGTTCGTTTGTTTCTTCCCGATTAGAGTGCGTCGGGGAGTACCTACGTTGCTGGCTCCTTTACAAAAGAAACCCACGGCTGACGACTCTCACAGCCTTTGAAAGCAGAATCCACTTAAACGCTCAAGATGGCGTCTGCCTCTCTGCAGCTGTGCGTCTCCACCCACTCAGGGCGGAGGTTTGCGTCATGTGATCCTCCCCTCTCTGGCCCCGCCTTCCGCCGCAGTGCCTGACGGGAGGCGGAGAGCGAACGAGGGCGTCGGCCATTTTGTGTCTGTTTCCTGTGGGAGGCGGTGGTGGCCGTTGGGTCGGAAAAGTGAGCGATTTATTTCCTCGTTTTCCTGCTTTTTTCTCCTCCCTTTAATTTTCCGAAAGGACACAGCTATGGGTCGCAAGAAGAAGAAGCAGCTGAAGCCGTGGTGCTGATATCCTTTGTCAGTTGGAAGTCGAGGCCGAGCGGGGGTGCCGGTTGATGAGGACTGGGACCTGGAGGCCCGGATTTGTCGTGTGGCGGGGAGCGCTAGGGTCCTAGGCCTCAGTGTGGGTGGCCTGGTGGCTTGGAGGCTTGGATTAATTTAGGAAGGTTTCTCAGAAAATGGGAACCAGAGGTCCAGAGGCTCTGGCGGGTGTAGGACTGGACTCGGTGACTCAGGAGGATCTCGTTTGGTGCGAGCGTTGGCCCACGGGGAGGCGGCCTGGACCCTCCACCAAGGGCAGTGTCCCCGAAGAACTCTTAGGCCGGTTGTTTTGGTGACGCTTCAACAAAGGGACTTTCTTCCAGTGTAACATGCTAATTGGCTCCATGGAGGATTGGGAAGAGCTTCCGGAGTTTGTCTCCTAGTTAATTTATTTTAGCCGGTCGTTTAATCAAGGTTCAAGTTAGTCCGCCCTGGTTTTGCGCACCTCTGCGTCCCGTCCTCCCCACCCTCCCCACCCCGGGTGTAACCCACAACTGGCTTCCGTATCTCACCCAGAGGCGCCTTGAATCCGAAGGAAGCATTCTCTTGTGGGGCGGAGTTTCTCGTCACTGTTGCCCAACTTTGTAGGGCCAAAAAAAAAAAAAAACAGCTTTCTCTTTAGAAAGGAAAAGTTGTTAAAATGTGGCATCTTTTTAATACTTTCACCGCAAATGTTAATTTCCTTTATGTTAAAGTTAATTTAGTCTCGTACTTAAATAGGTGTGTTACAGAAATAAAATTTATTCATTCTAGTTCAATAATAGCTTAAAATCGATTATGCGTTTTTAAAAAATGTTGCTTATGGGAAAATCTTGAGTGGTAAGAATTCTAAGCATTGTAGCCTTAACTCATCAGAGTTAATACATTCTCTGACACCATAAATTAGTACGAAGTTACTAGCAATTTTATGGCTTGTTCAGTCGAAATGCGTAATTATTCTTCACCATACAATTAGGTGTTAGACTCGAAATATTGGTGAATTGGTAACATTTCAATTGTTTTTATTTCCTTTATAGCTAATGAATTTTGTATTGAAGTGATTTTTAATTTTTTAACATGAATTTGGGGACTTAATATGGGAACCTTTTGTGTGCACTCATAAATGTTAAAATATTGAACAAAAGTCAACGTGTCTTTTCTATTAAACAAGTATTTTGCAAAATTTTGCCAAATACTGAGATGAGATGTATTTATTTGGGGTTGGTGAAGAGTTGGGTTTCTAAGAAATTGGAAATAGGAGACTACATGATATGTAATCCATATGGTATTATAAATGTGAAAATAAAATTTACTGTAAAATGCCATTTGGTTTTAATTGTTTTGATGCCATCCCTATGATAGTTCTTTTCATTTTTTAATTAAAGAGGTGGAGTTCCACTTTGTTGCTCAGCCTGACTCTAAACTCCTGGGCTCAAGTGATCTTCCTGTATTAGCCTCCATGTTGGCACCACTCAAGATTGTTTTGGTTGTACACTGTCATTATTGTACTTTGTACCTTAACAGTATCGATCAGGTATTGTAATAGAGATTTTGATGATGAGAAGATCCTTATACAGCACCAAAAGGCAAAGCATTTTAAATGCCATATATGTCATAAGAAATTGTATACAGGACCTGGCTTAGCTATTCATTGCATGCAGGTAAGGATTTTCTTTTCTACATTTAATTTTTGTCCCCTAATGTTGAATTTGTCATTGAGAACTACAGTTTTTTTGTTCATTGCAATAAGATAATCAATTTGCTTAAAACAACTCAAATCTATTCTTTTTCTACTTTTTCTTTGGTGTTAGGAATGGATTTTAAGGCCTCATACAAATTAAGCATATGTTCTATCACTAAACTACATCCCCAGCCTCCCCCAGTCTGTTCCATAACCATCAAAAGAATAAATTGACTTTGTGTGTAAAGAAAGTTGATATTTATATTAATCTTTAATTATTAGTGGGACTTTTCGCTCTAGGTTAGGTTAGCAACAGTTACATTGAGATCAGAATAGCCTGGAAATACCTGGAGTAGAGAATAAGGATTGGTGTTTTAAATTTTGTGGGCATTCTGGCTGTATGAATTAATATGTCATTAGTTTCCTCACTGACTGCCATTGAATGATATATTTGTTATAATAGGTTGCTTGGGGCTAGGCTTATTCCACAGGCTGTTCTAGGACCTATTAAGAGTGGCAGTATTGCATTTCTAGGGTTTTTGAGTCTTCTCACTATGAGATAGCAAGAACTTTAAAACTTATATTTTTATGATTCTCATTTAACATTATTTCTTCTACTTTTGCCAAAGCTGCCTTCTACTTTTTTTCAGAGCTGCCTGAATTTTTTGCTAAATAAGAGAAATGTGAAATGAGTAAATCCCTATGCCTTAAGAACTACTTACTGTTGGCAAGGCAGGGAGACAATGCTTCCCTCAGTTTAAGAATAAATTTACAAAAGGGTTGGGCATGTAACCTAGTGGTAGAATGCTTGCATAGCAAGTACAAGGCACTGTGTTATGTCCCCAGCACTATAATAATCATTTCTATTTGGCAAGGCGAGGTGGTGCCTACCTGTAATTCCTGTGACTCTGGAAACTGAAACAGGGTTGCAAGTTTGGGGCCAGTGTTAGCAATTTACCAGTACCCTTAGTAGCTTAGTAGGACCTTTTCTCAAAATTTATAAAGAGCTAGTGATGAAGCTCCATGGCAAAGTGCCCCTGGGTTCAATTTCTAGTACCAAATAAATAACTTTTCACTTAAGTGCTTTATTGTAATAGCAATTCAGTATCTATTTAAAATTGAGAACCTACTACTTAATAGACTCATAGTTGTTCACTGCAGCAACTAGTAGTTTCATGCAGCTTAATTTTAAATTAACAATTTATTTAGAATTAAGTAAAAATTAAAAATTATGTTTTCAAGTCACTTAGTGACATTTTCAGTGGTTAATAGTCACATGTGGCTGTGGATAACTGTTGATATGGTAGATATAGAACATTTAATCACAGAAAGTTTTTATGGAACAACACTGCTAGACATTGTAGGTATACAGCAGTGAAAAGTCTGCCATTATGGAGATTAGATTTATGTTGTGAAGGAGTATAACCTCTAGATTGTCTTAAATTGATAAGTGATAGAGAAAACGAACATAGTGAGGGCCATAAGGTAGGAAGGAAAGGCCTAAATTAGAAGCTAACATCTGATAAGATCTGAAAGGAAGTAAGCAAGTTTCCAGGGAATAGGAAATGAAAGCCCTTAAATACATCAGAATTCTCCTATACTGAAGGAAACAGAAAGGGCAGCACTGTGTTACTTTAATTTTTTTTTCATTCTGCGTTAAATGGATTTGAATAGCAATGGAACATGCTGATACACTACTATTTGTTTAGGTACTAGGGATTGAACCCAGAGGCACTTTACCACATTAACTTTACCACTGAGCCACATCCCAACCCCTTCGCTTTTTTTTTTTTTTTCAGTTGGAAACGGACACAATAACTTTACTTATTTTTTATGTGGTGGTGAGGATTAAACCCATGACCTCACACATGCAAGGCAAGCACTCTACCACTGAGCTACAACCCTAGCTACCCACCAACCTTTTTTACTTATTTTGGCACAAGGTTTGAGTTGTTTAGGGCCTTGCTAAGTTGCTAAGGCTGGTGATCTTCCTGCCTCAGGCTCTCAAATTGCTGGGATTACAAGAGTACACGGCTGCACTTGGCTGATACACTTTTTAAAATGATCATTCTGGCTGGAGTGTTGGAAATAGATTGCAGAGTGCACTAAGATCAGTTAGGGGAGCTGGGGTTGTGGCTCAACGATAGAGCATTCACTTAGCAAGTGTGAGGCCCTGGGTTCCATCCTTAGTACCACATAAAAATAACAAAAAATTAAGGCATTGTGTCCAACTACAACTAAAATATAAATATTAAAATAAAGGACCAGTTAGGGGACCTAAAATATTCCACATGAATTAAATGGTGATAGACCAAAATTTGATGATAGATTAGATATGGGGTATAAGAAAAAAATGAGAAATTAAAGATGACCTTGAGGTGTTCTCAGCAGTATGAAAAATGACTTCCCATGGAGTGAGAAAACTGCAGGAAGAATAAGGATTAGGGGGGCTGAGGCCATAGCTTAGTGGTAAAACACTTGTGTAGCATGCCTGGTTCATTTATTCCCCGGTATCTTGTGTCCACTCCCCCCACCCCAAAAGAAGCTAGAAACGAGGATAACGTGTTTTTTTTTTTTTAAAGAGTGAGAGAGGAGAGAGAGAGAGAATTTTTTTTTTTAATATTTATTTTTTAGTTCTCGGCGGACACAACATCTTTGTTGGTATGTGGTGCTGAGGATCGAACCCGGGCCACACGCATGCCAGGCGAGCGTGCTACCGCTTGAGCCACATCCCCAGCCCACGTGTTTTTTTTTTTTTTTTTTAAATTTTTATTTATTTTCTTAAAGAGAGAGTGGCGGGGTGAGAGAGAATTTTTTAATATTTTTTTAGTTCTCGGCAGACACAACATCTTTGTGGTGCTGAGGATCGAACCCAGGCCGCAAGCATGCCAGGGGAGCGCGCTACCGCTTGAGCCACATCCCCAGCCCTTCTTTTGTTTTTTTAAAGATGGAATTTTATAGCATAACAATATAATCCATAGTGAAATTCAAACAAGCTTCTTTTTTTATTTTTTTAGTTGGACCCAACACCTTTATTTCACTTATTTTTTTATGTGGTGCTGAGGATAAAACCCAAGGTCTTGCACGTGCGAGGCCAGCGCTCTACTGCTGAGCCACAACCCCAGCCCCTTTTGTTTTGTTTTTAACATGGTAGTTTTGTCATAATTTTGAGATCTACTTAACATGCAGTTGGAGATGTTACATAAGCAGTTGAATGTATGGAGTTTAGACAAGTTGAATTGGAGATAGGAATTTGAATTGGAGATAGGAATTTGAGGGCATGCAGGATGGTTAGTTTAAGGCTTGATAATAGGTGTACTTTTCCTAGGGAGTATAAGTTCCGTGCTCTTTCCGCGACTCCCCCCATTTAGAGGTCAGAAAATTTTAAATAATAATCTAGGGAGATAGATTGAAATGAAGGAAAATCAAGAGAATAATGCCCTGGAAACCAATGAAAGTGTTTCAAGGAGCGAGTTATTTAAGAGGTCAAATATTGGTGGAGGTGAAATAATAAAGAGAGAATTGATCAAAATGGAGGTCATTAGTCAAGACAGGAGTGATTTCCTAGAATGAAGAGAATGAAAGCTTGATCAGAATACTTTGAAAATGGAAGAGGAAGTAGAGGCACCCATGCCATTTTTTTTTTTTTTTAAAGGAGTTGTGCCTTGGAGAAGAGCAGAGAAATAGAATGAAAACTAGAAAGATTTCTAGGAATTTGTACTTTTCCTCAGATTTCTGAAGAATTTCATACTTTTTTTCCCCCCCAATGCTGTGGTGGAAATTGAACCCTGGGCCTCACAGACTAGACCAACACTTTACCACTGAGTTACATCGCAACTTGTTGACAACATTTTTTTTTTATTCAGTGCTTTTATTTATGTGTTTGCGCAGGAACCTCTGAAGTAGACATTGCAGTAAAATCATATGTACCCTAGCTTTAAGATGGTCTGTAGTAGGTTCTCATCAATGCTTGGCCATATTTTTTTTTTAACCAAAGAAAGATGATGCTTTTTTGGCAAAGTCTAAGAAATCTAGTTCTGGGTATACCATAATGGGAGGATTTTAAGCAAATCGTTATTTTTCTTCTAGTATATATATGTTTATCATTGACCCTATCACTCAGAAATGTACTGATGTATGTGAATGTAATTGTATTTCTTTCCTTTTTTTTTTTTGGTGTGGGGATTGAACCCAAGGGTGCTTTACCAGTGAGCTAGATTCCTGGCCCTTTTTATTTTTTTGAGAAAGAATCTCTCTGAAGCTGGCCTTCAACTTGCAATCTTTTTGTTTCAGTCTCCTGAGCCACTGAGATTACAGTTGTATGCCACTTCACACAGCATAGTTGGATTTCTTTAAGAATATGAGTTGCTTCATTGCACTTAATAAGAATAGCACATATTCCCCCAGAAACTTAGGAGACAGGGTCATTAAATCATTTCTTATAGTTTATTTGTGGATCTTTTAGTGATAGCACAAGGAAAAGCTGTTAAAGATTAATTAGGTACTGAGATAGTTTCTAAATTTGATTTGCATGTTACATTTTATTGAGATGTTTCTAAGGAGAATCCACTTATTTTTTTTTTACAAAAAAAAAAAACTAAAAGGGACTTGCTAAGTTGCTTAGGGTCTCACTGGGTTGCTGAGATGGTCCTTGAACTTGTGAACCTCCTGCCCTAGACTCCTAAATTGCTGGGATTACAGGTTACTGTGCTGGGCTTTAACTTTTTAAAGGTACCTTTCTATAAGTGTCTTGAGAGGAAAGAAAAGCAGTATTTCTTGGCAATCCCAATCATTAGCCTAAATCAGTTTGAGCATATATCAGGATCACTTGGAGGAACTGTGTTTGTTAAAACATAGGTCACTGGTCACACCCAAGAATTTTAGATTCAGGTCTTTGGTAGAACCTGAGATTTTGCATTTGTGTAGTAGGCTTCTGATTATGGTGATAGTCTAGGCAACATATTTTGATATTCACTAGCATAAACAAAAGGCTTTTTGTGTGTAGTGGCAGGCTGCTTAGGAATTGAACCCAGGGGCATTCTACCACTGAGTTACATCCCCAGCCCCTTTTATTTTTCATTTCAAGATGAAATGGGGTCTAAGTTGCCCAGGCTACCTTCAACTTGTGATTGTCCTGCTTCAGCCTCCCTGGTAGCTGGGATTATAGGCATCTCCCACTGTGTCTGGCAAGTGAATGACTTTTGCTGAAAAAACCAACTCTGTATAAGGATATAACCATATATTGTGAGTTATTCATGTTTGAGGGTTAGAAACATTTGAACTTGCAAAAGCATACAGGGAAGAAATTATAATAACTTCCTCAAGTAATTATTAGTTATGGGTGGTGCTAATTATAATGTACATTTTCTTGTTTGTAACTGTAAGCCAGACTCTTTCTTGGAAATTTTATTCTAATTTTTTTTTCTTTTTAAGTGGTGCTGTGGGTTGAACGCAGGGCCTCCTATGTGGCTAGGCAAGTACTGCACCTCTGAGCAGCATCCCTCTAATTTATTTTATTTTTTTTTATTTTTTATTTTTTTTTAAAGCGAGAGTGAGAGAGGAGAGAGAGAGAGAATTTTTTTAATATTTATTTTTTAGTTCTCGGCGGACACAACATCTTTGTTGGTATGTGGTGCTGAGGATCGAACCCGGGCCTCACGCATGCCAGGCATAGCGCCACATCCCCAGCCCCATCCCTCTAATTTAAAAAAAAAAATCTTTTTAGTTATAGGTGGACACAATACCTTTATTTTTATTTGTTTTATTATTATGTAATGTTGAGGATCAAACCCTGTGCCTCACACATGGTAAATAAGTGCTCTACCACTGAGCTACAAACCCAGCATTCCCTCTAATGCTTAGTATAAGACTGTTCGGCTAGGGATATAGCTCAGTGGTAGAACACTTGGTGTGAAACCCTGAGTTCAGTCTCCAACACTACACACAGAAGAAAGTACATTTTATAATCTTTAAAAATTTTTTTCTAGTTGTCAATGGATCTTTATTTATATGTGGTGCTGAGAATCGAACCCAGTTCTCACACGTGCTAGGCAAGTGGTCTACCACTGAGCCACAACCCCAGCCCCCAATCTCATAATCTTAATTTAGACATGAAACATTATTCCTAAAAAGATTTTTATGAGGCACTTTTGTGTATTTACTGAAATTTTTGTTTTTAATGTTAGGTGCATAAAGAGACAATAGATGCTGTAAGGAATGCAATACCTGGGAGAACAGACATAGAGTTGGAAATATACGGTATGGAAGGTATTCCAGAAAAAGACATGGATGAAAGACGACGACTTCTTGAACAGAAAACTCAGGGTAAAAAATAAGATGATTATTATTTTTTTAAATATATCTTCACTTTAATGAGACTATTACTATTTTTAGTGTAAATTTATAGATGTAAATTAATAGATGATAGATTTGTTCAGAACTCCAATTTTGAGTTAGTTTTCCCCCTTACATTTATGTTTAGTGGTTTTGTTAGACTTGGAATTTGAAGCTATGTACTAACTAGATGGTAGAAATTGTTATTAATCTATTTAATCACCTATGTTTTTTATTTTGAAGCGAATTTTTTATCTTGTGGAGACGTCAGACTTCTTTGTCATGGTTGACCCTTTTTTTTTGGTACTGGGAATTGAACCCAGGGCATTCAACATCTGAATCACATCCCCAGCCCTTTTAATTTAGACATAGGGTCACACCGAGTTGCTTAGGGCCTGCTGAGTTGCTGAGGCTGGCTTTGAACTCATGATCCTCTTGACTTAGCTCATTCACTGCCACCATGCTTGGCTCATGGTTTACTTTTTATTTGGAATAGAAATAAAATTTGGGGATTGAACTCGGGATGCTTCACCATTTTGAGATGGTTTTGCAAAGTTGCCAAGGATGGCCTTGGACTTGGAATTCTCTTGCCTTAATCTCCTGAGATTCTGGTATTACAGACTCCCAGCTAGAAAGCTTTTTTGGGGAAGTGGGTACTGGGGCTTAAACCCAGTGTCCTTAATCACTTAGCCACATCTTCAGTTCTTCTTATTTTGAGTCAGGGTCTAAATTATTGAGGCTACTCTCAAAAACTTGGGTTGATCCTGCCTTAGCCTCTCAAGTCACTGGGATTACAGGAATTCGCCACCATGTCTGACTTAACTGTTTTTTGAGTAACTTAAGTAAAACTGACTTAGGATAATCACTTTTATCTTTCATAGGATGTTAATTCTCCTTAATATAGAGTAAAGGCAGATTTGAATAGTGGAGAATAATTATTGAATTATTTGAAGTTAAATGTCCTAAACTCATTCACTCTTTTTTAACTATCAGAAATAGTAATTTAAATTTTCTTAGCAGAGAGTCAAAAAAAGAAGCAACAGGATGATTCTGATGAGTATGATGATGATGACTCTGCAGCCTCAACTTCATTTCAACCACAGTCTGTTCAACCTCAGCAAGGTTATATCCCTCCAATGGCTCAGCCAGGACTGCCACCAGTTCCGGGAGCACCAGGAATGCCTCCAGGTACCACATAGGGTTTCATAAAATGTAACATTCTTTTGATTTTATTAATATGATGTAGAAGTATTGTTTTTGTTCCCCTAACTCTTTAATATTAATTGATGATTTTTTTTTTTTGGTTGAAATTCTTATTTGTAGGCATACCTCCACTAATGCCAGGTGTTCCTCCTCTGATGCCAGGWATGCCACCAGTTATGCCAGGCATGCCACCTGGGTAAGAAAACTTTTAATTGTCTTGTGGGCTTATGCCTAGTAATAATATGTTTCAACTTAGGTATACTTTAAGTAAATGTTATTTTGCATTTTTGTTTCTAGAAGGTATGGGCTCTTAAGTCTTAACTTTGTTTAATAAGGGGTCAATCAATGAATTTAAGGTATAAGTTTGCCTCTAAAGAGAGTAGATTTTTGGGTTTTAGTATGTAGGCAGCCATCTGCTTCAATTGCATATGCGGTAATTAAAGTAGTTGGTTGTATATTTGAGTTTCTGAGATTCAGAACTATCCTTGACACTTTATAGTTGTGAGAAGAAGCAAACTCTGTAAATGATTGTATGTGTAGAAGCATCAAAAGTTAAGGTTAAGATGAGGTGCTCATGCCCATCACTTTTACTTAAATATTGTTGGATGTGAGGTAAACAATACACTTTCCCACTGTATTTTGAAAATCACAGTTAGATTTTGATTTTGTCATACATTTTCACAGATTGCATCATCAGAGAAAATACACCCAGTCATTTTGCGGTGAAAACATGTAAGCATCTCATTCATAATGTAATTCAGGAAGTATAATCATAATGTCATTTTTTTGTGTGTGTTTAATGATATCTATTCAGTTGGCTTCAGAAATTTTCTAACCTTCTCTAGAACTTAAAAGTTGCAAGCTGCTTGACACAGGTCTCTTAAAAAGAGGGAATTAAAACATCTCTGAGGAAATAGACCCATTAAATAAAGCATTTTCTAAATGTGTATTTTCCCCTTATTGCTAAAATTAATGGGACCTGATAGTAAAAGTGTTTGTGTTTAAGGAAGAAAATATATATTCTGACAAATTTTTGTATATTAATGTTTGAATATGATTGAATTTTCTTTTAGTTAGAATTTATGTATAAAGTTAAAACTTCTGATATAAGTTCTAAGTTGTGGTATTGTGTCTATCTACGACTCTTTTAGTTGTGGAGCTGGGGTTGTTGCTCCACAGTACAGTGGGTGCTTAGCGAATGTGAGGCCCTGAATTCAGTCCTCAGCACCAAAAAACCCCGTCCAAAATAATAATACTAAACCAAATTGAAAAACTTCTAATTTTTTAAAAAATGAATTATACACTGATGAAGGTGAACTTTTTAAAGGAAAGAAAATAATGTAGGTTTTGGTTGTAACTCGTGGTTTAATGTTAGATAACTTGTAAATAAAAATTAGACAATAGTGAGTTTGCTTTTGACAGTATTAATTTTGGTGGTAGGTTTTCCTTGCCTTTCCAAAACAAAAAATTCTTACTTTATAGTATACATTAAATATTTTCTTTTTGAAAAATCTAGCAACTCTAAAATATATTTTATTTATGTTCTGTGAGGATATTTTTCAAGTGGAATAAAAGATTTTGCTTTCCAATACACATTTTTGATGAGGCCTCCTGTACATGTTAAATATTTTCTCTCTATAACTTTGAATGTTTTGTCAACAAAGACTGATTTTCTCCCCTTTACCGATAAACCCAAGAGCTTGCTGGCTTTTTTTTTTTAGGATTTATTTTGATAGGACTGTTGTGCATAGTTTGTTTTTTCAGCTTTTTTGATTTCAGTATTAGAGGGCAAATTCGAATCTTTAGCCAAAATATTTTCTTATAGTTTAGCCAAAATATTTTGGATTTGGCCAAAATATTTTCTTATGGTTTATACTGCTAATTAACTTTAGTTGTTTTTTGAAATTTGCTTTCTAACAGAATGATGCCAATGGGTGGAATGATGCCACCTGRACCAGGAATACCACCTCTTATGCCTGGTATGCCACCAGGTATGACATGTTAAACAGTTTTCTATATTAATATGACTAGAATGCTTTATTCGTAAGTTTCTTGTGAAGTAGACGTATAGGAAATAGATCAACACACATTATGCTGAGGTATTTGCAATAATTTAAATGAATACAGATAATAATTGTTCACAGGGTAGGGTTGTAGCCCAGTGGTAGAGCACTTGCCTGTCATGTGTGAGGCATTGGGTTCAATCCTCAGCACCATATAAAAATAAAAAAATTAAAGGTATTGTGTCTATCTACAACTTTAAAAATGTTTAAAAAATAATTTTTTGTTTACTAACAAAGTTGGTAAAAGTTATACTACAGAAACTCAAACCCATTAATAATGGGTTTTAGTAAAAATAGCTTAGGGTGTCCAAAGGAATAACAAAATTTATAGGTCCTAATATTGTATGGCTTACGGAAATTTTACTGTCATTCACATTAAAGTTTCAGAGTTCAAGGAAGATTTAAAATGTATGGTAAATTGAAATAATTCTGATGACTGAAATAATTATATATATTTGAATACATTTACTAATTCAGTTATATCAGTAAGCTTAATTGTCATTTTTGATCATATGCCAGTTCTAGTATTATTTTCTTCTGTTACTTTTTGTTTTACTGGGGATCAAAGGGGCACTTTACTGTTCAACTACTACAGTTCTTTGTTTTTTAATTTTAAAAAAATATATATTCAATTTTATTTTATCCTTATTTATTTTTATGTGGTGCTTAAGATCATACCCAGTGCCTTTCACATGCTAGGCAAGCTCTCTACCACTGAGCTACAACCACAGTCGCTATTATTTCTTTTTTTCCTAATATTTTTCTCTGGTGCATTATAGTTGTACGTAATGGTGGGATTTGTTGTTACATGTTTGTACGTGCACACAGTAGAACTCTTTTTAGTATTTTGAGACAGGGTCTTGTCATGTTGCTGAGGCTTGCCTGTAATTGATGATCTTGCCCCAGACTTCCAAATTGTTGGAATTACAGGTATACACCACCATGCCTTGGACTCTATAGAGTTGTTCAGGAGTCAATTAGTAACTTTCTAGTATAGAAACATTTTTCTCTGAACGAACTGTTTCATTGACTGAATTCCCCACTACCATTTTTTCTTCAGGTATGCCCCCCCCTGTTCCCCGTCCTGGAATTCCTCCAATGACTCAAGCACAGGCTGTGTCAGCACCAGGTATTCTTAATAGRCCACCTGCACCAACAGCAACAGTACCTGCTCCACAGCCTCCAGTTACTAAGCCTCTTTTCCCCAGTGCTGGACAGGTAAGGTGAAATTACTGCAAAAAGTGCTCTTAAAGGTAAAGCATAGTTGTTTACAAAAAACTTTGAAATTGTCATAGGTTAATTTTTTAAATAAAAATTTAATATAATTAAATATACTAAAAAGTGGCCTATCCTTTTCCATGTTTACACTTCTTGACTTTTCAACCTATTGAATGAAATCAGAGATAGTTTTTTTCCTCCCGTCTTGTAATTCTTAACTGAATTAGAAATTAAAATTGAGTTGTGATTGGTGATACAAGCCTGTAATCCCAGTGGCTCCGGAAGCTGAGGCAATAGGATTGCAAGTTCAAAGCCAGCCTCAGCAATTTAGTGAGACCTTAAGCAACTCAATGAGACCCCATCTCTAAATAAAATATATTAAAAGGGGGGTGGGGTGGGCTGAGGATGTGGCTCAGTGGCTAAGTGCCCTGGGTTCAATCCCCAGTACCAAAAAAGAAAGAATTAAAGTTGATTTCTGGAGACTTAAATACATACTGTTAAGAGGCCCTCCTTTCCCTATTTAATAGTAAGTAGAATGAGGCCAAAGATGAAAAGTCCTTTAGAGGTTAGGAAATAATTTATTGGACTACTCTTATTAGAACTGTGGTAAATTACAATGCTGCAGTCATGCTAGAAGGACATCATTTAATGGCTTTATATTTCCTAGTGGTCTTGTCTTCCTTCAAAACTTTCTCCAAAACATAAGAGATGTTTGTGTTATATGCAGTATAGATATAATGGTTGGGATCTTTGCTTTTTTTCAGTTTCATTCGGAACTAAGCACATGTATTTAAGTTCAGGATGTATATTTATTATTGGTTCTTTTTTAAAATTATCTCTTTGATGTTTTCTTGTATCACTTTTTTTTCCTGTTTGTGGGTGCTAAATTAATAAAGTGTCCTTTAAGCATATTAATTATGTTTTGTGGTGGGTGGGGATTTTGTTTATTGAGAATGTGAAACTTTTGTAAAAATCTTTTTGTAGAGAGGCATTGGTGAGGATTGATGTGTCCACAATAATACTTTTTCTCAGTTTTAGGTATCAGTTCTTGAAATATCTCAGTGGAAAACACAGTTTTGTTAAAAACAAAACTGGTTAACTAGGTTTATTCATGTCAGTTTTTTTTTTTTAAGGCTCCTTCTTTCACCATGTTTATTGTAAATGCATTAACTGCCTGCCTCTTAAATGACATTTGATTGCATTAAATTTTGCATTTACAAAAATGCAATCTATACTAAAAAGTCTGCCACATGGCTTATTTCACCCATTTGTTTGGAGACTTTTCATTGTTTCCTTTCTTTTATGCTACAGATGGGGACACCTGTAACAAGCTCAAGTATAGCTTCATCCAATTCATAAAGTCTTTCTGCATCTTCTAAAGCTCTGTTTCCTAGCACAGCACAAGTACGCAGGAAGTTGCAGTTTAAAATTGTTGAAATGGCTTTATAACTTAACCCTTTGGACCCTACATGAAAATTAAATTATCCTTAAAATCTTATGTTTTATTTTTTTTAAAAGTAAGATTAATGTCATTAATAAAATCAAATGGCTTTGGAAAATCTGAATTTATATTAACAATCCCAAAAAAGTACCCTCAACTTCTATGGTTCTAAAGGGTTAAAAGCATGTAAGCAGTAAATGCATTATCGTGGCCAATGTATTCTGATGCATGGTTTTGATTTATGCTGTTTAATGCATCACATACAATGTAAGGAAAGTAGTACTCTGCATATAGTTCAAAAAGTTGACCTGTTTGACGTTTTAGATGTTTGGCATTTTAGAGAGTAACACATTTGTTTCGTGAAATTCTTTAGAAGAACCTGCTAAATTATAACCCTTTTGTCCATGAGAATCTCTCTAATTGGAGAGTTTTGAATTATTGTATAAAAAATGCTAGTAAGGACATAACTTTATTATGTCACCATTGACAATACTTTTTGTGCCATACTTAGTAACTAAAGTTTATCTGAACTTTTGTATTCTTTAATTTCTTTTTTTTTGAGCTGCTTGAAAGATTACCTTTAAAAAACTATTTTAAAAAAATAGGTCTGTTTATAGATTTTTGTTACGTGATACTGTATTTCAGCTATTTGAAATAAACTTTAATTTAGAATAAAGTTACTAGTTAGGACTGTAGAAGGCATCTGAGAAGTTACATATACAGTCATCTTGTTTTCTAATAGTCTGATATGACTTTAATCCAGTCTTTTGATATGGGCTGTCTTGAATTTTGTGAGGCATTTATTATATGTTAACTTTTGTTTGGATTTAATTTAAATTTTGGTACTTTAATGTATTTTAAGTTAATCTCATAGATATACTCAACTTTGGGTTTTGAAGTTTCATTAATGAAAAATTGTGTTTTACAGGCTCAGGCAGCTGTGCAAGGACCTGTTGGTACAGATTTCAAGCCCTTAAATAGTACCCCTGCAACAACTACAGAACCCCCAAAGCCTACATTCCCTGCTTATACACAGTCTACAGCTTCAACCACTAGKACAACAAATAGTACTGCAGCAAAACCAGCAGCTTCAATAACAAGTAAGCCTGCTACACTTACAACCACCAGTGCAACCAGTAAGTTGATCCATCCAGATGAGGATATATCACTGGTAAGTTGTTTTCTATGTCTTTACTAGCAGCACTTGATTTTTAATTTTTACTCATTGGGTCTGATTTAGTGGTTCCAAATGGTTGTTACAATTTTGATATTTAAGAAACCACAAAATACTCATAAAGTGGATGGATTCTACATGTTGTGATTGCTTCCTCCCTCCTATTTCTAAAAGAAGGTAATAAGTCAGTTTCTCAACTTTCTTAAAAATCATTTTAGTTAGACATAAATCTGCATTTATTGACTAAAGATACAAGTATGAGGTAAAACCTGCAGATCCTTTCAAGCCCACATAAAGGAATTTATTTCAATAGAAAGTTTTTTAGTCCCCCTTTTGTTGATGATACTGTGATTAAACCAGAAATGTTTTGCTTCTGAGCAAGGTCTGAAGCCTGTTTTAATTTTGTTTAGATGGAGGCAGGGTCTTCATAAGTTGTTCAAAGTGTGCCTCAAAATTGTAGTCCTTCTTCCTCAGCCTCTTAAGCAGCTGGGATAATAGGCACGTGCTTAACTCCTGGCTAATATTTAGAATTTTCATAGCAGTATTTAAAATCTAGACAGTTTCTTGTTGAAACATTTGTCATTCCTGTGAAGTTGTTAGTCGTGCTTCAAGTATAAAAATAGAGGTTTTTTAAAGCATGGACATTTCAGGTATTTGAACTGGTTTGTGGGGACAAAAATAATTGGTGGATAGTAAGTATAAATTTTAAAACAGGTAATTCTTATTCTGTAAATTATAAATGTTTTACGTGCTTGCCTTAATGCTTGGTGGATCTCTCTGCATACATGTGTTTAACATTGTTCTTATTTTTATTCCTAGGAAGAGAGAAGGGCACAGTTACATAATTATCAGCATAATCTTCCTCGATTAGGACAGGCCCCAATCAGTAATCCACCAGTTGGACCAATTGGAGGTATGATGCCACCACAGCCAGGCATCCCACAGCAGCAAGGAATGAGACCCCCAATGCCACCTCATGGTCAGTATGGTGGTCATCATCAAGGCATGCCAGGTTACCTTCCTGGTGCTATGCCACCGTATGGGCAGGGACCGCCAATGGTACCCCCTTACCAAGGTGGGCCTCCTCGACCTCCAATGGGAATGAGACCTCCTGTAATGTTGCAAGGTGTGCTGTTTATATAGCCGAGCTTCCGTCAATAAGGCTTCATTGTGACTTTAACAAACATTATCTTCCCACATACCAGGAAGTATTGTAAATTTATTTCACATAGGAAAAATTATTTGGAATAATAAAGCAGGAACTTTTCCTGAGGTTGCAATTTATACTGTATGGCTTCTTTTTCATGTTTCGTCTAGGTTTTTAGAAGTGAAGTATAGTAAATTTGGTTCGTTAAATTGTGAAGGCGCTGGAATTACATGAACATACCACCTTAATAAAGGCAAGTTCTGTAAGCTTACATTGCTATTTGTAAAGTTATGCMTTCACAGCATTTCAGATGCTGTTGGACTTCATGTCCCCAACCTAGTTTGGTGAGGGCTGTTTCCAAGTACCTGTACATTGGAAGTCTGAATGTGTAACAATAYTTAATGTATTTAGAGTTCCTCATGTTGCAGGGTTTAAGAAATCTGACCCACAAAGGTCATGTGACTTTTCTGTACTGTTAAACTTCATTGTAATAAAGAGAGAAAAAAGTATGCCTTTTTATTTATAACCCAGCTGTGGACCACTGCCTGAAAGGTTTGTACAGATGCATGCCACAGTAGATGTCCACATAATAAAATTCACAGTTACCAATGCAGTTTTGATACATCATTGAATTCTGTCCTTTGAGTAGTAGATTGTTTCTTAGCTGCATGTTTTAAACTGAACAGTTTATATAGAATTGTATGTTGATATTTCCATTAAATATACATATTAATTATTATGCAATAGGTTTGAAATCTTCATATTGTCACCTTTCCACACCCTTGGGTGTCATCAGATCTCATAGATATTTAAAATRTATAAGCCTTAATAGTTCTTCCATTAGCTATTTAGAGCCTAGTGCCAGACTCATTTGATTTCATGCTGATTATTTTTGAGATTTCAGTACTGCATGGACCTCAGAAGCTTTTCAGGTACAAACTTCTAGAAGCTTAGGTGCATGTAGTAATAGCTACTTATGTTGTTAATGGGTTGTTATATGTTCTTCTGAGTGTAGTACTGTGCCTCTTAGGGTAGTTGACTGACAATTTTTAAATTTATTAGGTTCCTAGAAGGTAACATTACTTATTTGATTAGATGGATACCTTCTGTTATTAAGCCTACTTGGCTTTGCTGTTTTTATCCTTGGCAAATTTGAATATTATTGTGTTCTAATAGAGAACTTTCCTGTAGAGATAACTGCCATTTTGCAGTATTTTGTGTTGCAAATCTTTTATAATATAGCCCTTGTTGGACTTTTTGTTTTTCCTGATCTCTTTAAGTATGAAATAATCCACAAAGTAATTATCAATGAATACAAGTGGAGTTTCTCTAATTGTAAGCCTTCCAAAAAATGATTACTTCTTAAAATAACTTACATGAGGTTATGGGCAAAAGGTTAAAATATAAAGTTTTAAGGCAAAAAAGGCTTTAACTTTGTAGGAAAATGTTTTTAAATGTTTACTCAGTACAGAAGAGTTTGTATTTAAGTGACAGGTTTTGGTCATTCAAAATCATTTCAAGTATTTTAAAGCTGAATGATTTTTTAAAAAATGGTGCTGTTCTCTTCTGATATGGCTTCTGTGCTCTGGTACCATTGAGGTGCAAAAAATTCCATACTTTGAAAAGACAGAATCCATTTATCACCATGAAAGCTTTTGCCAGTCCCACACTCCTTTCCACTGTTTGCATAGCTAAATTGTTTTGTAATATGCATAAGCTTCTTAGATTTGACCACTTTGTTTTTTATACTTCCAAAGAAAAAACTTCGTTGAAAAGTATTTAAGGTAAAGTGGCCTGATTAAGAATGATTAATCATTTAKAATGATTAAATAGGAAATGTTCTCCCAAATCAGTGTCAATAAAGGATTTCCTATATAGATTTATCCACAAACTTCATAAGAGTTGGTAGACCTGTTTTAAAAATTGTGTAACGCTTTATTTGCATTTTATGAGAAGACCAATATTTTATAGCAAAGTTTATTGTTCTCTGGGGTCCAAAGGGATAAAAAAAATTAAATGAGTGATAAAATTCTAATAAACAATTAATTGCTGGTGTTATTCATGGCATTTAAAAAATTAAGTACATGATCTTTCCTGTACCTTGTAAGTTATGTGGCTCATAGGTGATGCCCATTTAGTGTATGTAATCTGTAATTTTCATGCACCTAAAGATGATTAAGCTTCTAGAAAATACCTTTTACCTAACTGCTTCTGGGGTCCTTAATGTGGTTGAATCATGAGTGGGACAAATTATGTTGAAATAACTCTTTGACTTGTGCTTTTTTAAGTAGTTGATGAAGTTGAGTCAAATTGAATTTTAATTGTCCTACTTTGGAGATTGGATGAATTCAGGAGGCACTGTGATTGCCATTATTGAGGAAGTTATAAATAAGATTAATAGAACTGGCAGTTTTGGCTCTTTCATCTACTCCTCTTATCACCCTTTGTAGAAAAGCAAAAATAATATTTTGTCTGGCACTAGTTTCTATTTTATAAGATTTACAACTGATGATAGTAACAAGGCTGGCAAATGAGGATCAATTTTTGAGTGACTGCTGGAATTATTTCATTTGAATTTGTGTTTTAGAAATCTCTCACAATGTTTGCCATTAGATATGGGAGAATACCTATTCCATTGATCAAGTTATGTGTTGAACTCAGTTTAATTAAACTTATATAGGGGGAAATCCCCCTTCCCCAGGAAAAAAAATATGGGCTCAAAATGGAATTGTAATAGATAAAAGAGCTGCTCTTTTCTCCTTTGCTTGCTTGATCATTGGGAATTTTTTTTTTAAATTTAATGCATGTCTTTTAAATTAATTGGGTAATGTTTTTCTAAAATTAAAATTTTCTTCTTCCTATAGCCCTGCCATAGGACAGGCTGAGGCTGAGTCTCAGTGTTGCCCTGTTCAGTCTGAGGCAAGTRGGATTTATTTTATTCCTTATAGGGGCTTTCACAGCTTTATGGCTGTTGGATATTTATGTCCCCAAACTTGCAGCAAGTTTGGTGAAGGCCCCTAAATTTAATTAAACTTAGGATTTTTATAATCTTTGGGCAGAGAAGGCTTTATATTAATATTCACATTTGACTGTGGTGTAAACAAACAAAAACAAAGTATTTTATATTACATAATTAACAGCCTCAGTAAAGTTTATATTATTGTATTGAACCTTAGTAAATTGACAATTTGACATTCTTAATTTGGAGGCATGAAATGTTTCATTCAAAATTTTCACTGTCATTTCTAGGAAAATCTTACTGGTTATACTCTCCCCAAACTATTAAATTTAACCTCAAGGATAAGTTAATTATTGAAACTGCCACAGGGTACTGATATATGTTATTAATCTTAAGCTTATACATTGACATCAAGGTTTGAAAGGACATCTGGAGATGTTTGTGATTTTTAATATTTTCAGACCTCACCACATTAGAGCAAATGTTAATGTAGAGCCCTGTGAAGAGTGGGAAGGTTGTATGTCTTTGTGTGCTTGTGTGGTATGTATGGGTGTAGAGTACACATGTGATAGAATAAAAGGGTTTGGGTGTTACAGACCTGTCAACCTGGATAGTTTACTAATTTTTAGGAAACCAAACTAAAATTGGATCATGTGGCAAAGTTACAACTATATTAAACTGGTTTTGGAAATGATTATTTCATAGTTCATACTCACTGAGCAGTGTTTTATGCAGTATGCACAAATGAATAGTATCCATGTTTGTTTCCAAGCAAGATTTGCTTTTATTTGGTGAGAAAAGTTGTATGTCTGTGTGTTTTGTTATAGAAGATAAAGAGAAAATTGGAAGAGGGGCCAAAACAAACCTGGGTTATGTTTGTTCCTTCTTCTGTATTAAGACACCATCCTAGCCAGATAGCATTTCCTCTGAACGAGAGCAATTAACATATAGTATGACATAGACCTGTATTGTGTTTTTATTCTTGGAAACTTAAAAATCATTAAAAGAATTCCAAATTTGGACCCATTTGTTAGAATACATGATTTTCATTGTAACTGAATCATGGGAATGGATTTTAAAATAGCAAAGAATATTGTTGTTTCAGTGACAAAATAGTCCACTGGAATATTTTATACCAATAATTACATGTTTTAAGACTAATTGGAGATCTGTTTTATATTGCATCCACCATTCTCCAGTATACTGGAATCTCTTGAAGTTGCTTGGCCTAATTCTAATAGTAATAATTGGAATAAATATAATTGGAATAGGCTTTGGTTGAGTACTAGGTGGGGCTTTACTCATGGTGGCATAAGTTGATAATATCTAATTTAAAATATATCATTTATATATTTGTAATTCCATGACTCAGACACAGTTTTGAGAATTACATAATTTTCAGGTAGTCCGTAAAGACTGCTAGTAAAACTTGGTAAATGAAAGAAAATGTTGAAGTCACTTCACTCAGTCAGCTGATAAAAGTAGACACAGAAGACACTTGTGTTGCTGGGTACTTCTGTAATTCCAGCAACTTGGGAGGCTGAGGCAGGAGGATTTACAAGTGTGAGGCCAACCGTACCAACTTAGTGAGAACTTAAAAAACTTAGTGAGACCCTGTTTCAAAATAAATGCAAAGGGTTGGGGATGCAGCTCACTTGTAAAATGCCCCCGAGTTAAGTATCCACAACTACTACAAAAATACTTGCACTGTTTAGGGAATAAAGAAACATTAAATGTGTACCCTTAATTTTTATAAATCAAATATCTTTTTTAAAAGATGGTGTTACCTACATAGTATTAAAATCTTTGTATGTTCTTCCAAAAATGAAACTTTGTTTTATCTTACTCTAACTTTTATGAAAAGTCCTCCAGAAGGAAACTGTGGCCTATAGGGCAGGTTTTTGTAAGTAAACATTCTGCTAACTACCCTTCTAGGTATCTCATGACAATGAAGTTTGCTTGTTTCTTTTTTACCCTTATTTCTCAGTATATACTTTTGTTTTCTGTCATTCAAATCATTTTTATTACTTTTGTTTTTTATGTGAAGAAACCATCCAACTTTTCTGTGTCCTATTTGTTAGCAAAAATAAGCACTTTTAACTGTATTGTACATGTGGGGTCATGCATATAGTGGATATTCATAATTTTTAATTGCTGAATTTTCAAAACTACAAAATTTTGAGCTCTTATGGATTTAATTTAAGTGAATGTGTAGGGAATGTGTAAGAAGTGGAGAAATTAGGTCTTCAATTTGAACTCCCTAATATTGAATGCATCAAACTTTTCCAAGTTTTTTTTTTTAAAGTTGAATTTTTTTCTGACATGTTTTAAAAGTGATATGTGATATATATGGGGTACAGTTTTCTTAAGTGTTTAAACCTTTACATTTCAAACATTTTAAACATTCTTGAATGGCATTTTTGTTAGGATATAGATTAAAGTAGTATTTTTAAGAAAATGTCTTCAGTAAGACTCCGAATAAGCACTGTTTCTTCCTCTGTGTGTACATATTCTTGCATAATGTTTTAGGCTTTAAAGGAAGAGCCTTTCCTTTTCTTCCCAACTGGGACAGTTTTTAGTTGAAAACTAAATTAGTTGGAGCCAGGAGCAGTGATGCCAATCTCTAATCCAGTAGTCCTGGAGGCTGAAGCAAGGACGATCACCAGTTCAAAGCTAGCTTTAGCAACTTAGTGAGGCAGCACAGTGAGGTCCTGTCTCTAATAAAATACAAAACAGGGTAGGGATGTGGCTCATTGGTTAAGTGTCTGTAGGTTTAATCCCCAGTACCAAAAAAAGAAAAGTTTAAATATTTCGATCTATTTCTCTTTAATTTTCAGTTTATCTCATGTTTTTGCTAAGCAGGATGTAGAAATAATATAGACAGAATTTTACACCCTTAAAAAGATTTTTGTTGAAACTAATTTTGAACAGCTATTGGAACCAAATTAAACATTGTATTAAATCAAGACTAGCTCATTAAATGGAAACTTTAAATATTAGGTTCTTTAGGAAGCAGATGAGAATTTTTTTTTGTGTATGCTTTAACTTCAGAGGAGACACATGTGAGTACTTTATTTGACTACTTGAACCATTCCCCCAGTTGTTTTAAATGCTGCAATGATGTGTAAGGTGTTAGGGCCCAGTTTCAGTAATGTACTCTGTGTGTTTGATAAGGAGTTTGTGTAATGCTGTGTTTGTAAAAGATGAAATTCTTATTGGCATTTTTAAAGCCCACTAGATTTGTTTTTAGGTTGTTTTTGTTTTGTTTTTAACTATTAGCATGTTAAAAGAAATTGTGTGTCTTCGCCATTTCTAAATTTTAGGAACTGGTTATAAAATTCATTGATGCCCAACTTTGATAAAAATGAACAATAAACCTGGAGTATAGATCAGTGGGAGAGCTTGTGCTTTAGCATGCATGAGCCCTGGATTCATCCCTAGTACCAAAAACAGAAAAAGAAGAATGAAGAATGTTTCCACAGTTTATTAGACACAAATAGTGATTATGGGGGAGGAGGGAGACCAGTATATATAGTTTTTTTTAGACTTGAGAACCTTAAGTGTAATGAAAAGTAACAGCATTTCTACTGTTTTATTTTTGAGGTTTTACCATATTATCTCCATTGATGTAAATTAT